ATCAGCATCCGATTCTGTAAGTGGCTATTATTTATACCATACATTTTAAAGTAATATGTATGTATAATATGTACAAATTAGTGAATAAAAAATACTACATTAATTATTTTAAAGAAGTATTATCGCACAAGACCTTTAGGGCGATTCTGTAACTTAGCAAACGGAACTCAACTCAAAACTTCACCGAGATATGCTATAGGCCAATAATACCTAATGGTGAAGTGAGTTCGCAATTCATATACAGAATAAGGATATCCAATGGTTGCTCGGGTCACTCGTTTCTTTAATCCGAAGATCTTTATTTTTTCATAAAAAACATGTTAAGCATCATTAAAGTAATAAAAAAAAAATTATTGTCTTTTATTGACATAACTTTTACACATAGAAAACACTTTTTTACCGGATTGAAGTTATGTAATATTATAAATTTACAATTATTTTGTCACCGTGACTACGCTACGTACGCACGCTGTAAAGCACGCGAAACGTCGGTTAAATTTAAAATTATTAATGATATTTATTTATATAAAATGTAAAATAATTGTAAAAAAAATATTTTTAACAATCGTATCTTATAGTATTTAATAATCAACTATACCCATAGCCACTTGCAATACAGAATATGATTGTCAGATGCCATTACCAACTGGGAACACCTTCGCTAACCATCTAAACCCACTATACAAATCGAAACGCCCTATAATATTCTGATTAAAGTCAACGCTAATAATCTATATAAATACCAGCAGAACCTCAACCTAACATTGAACCGGATACATAGATGGGGTATCCTAAACAAACTGAAGTTTGCGCCACACAAGACCAAAGCCATGGTGGTGACGCGCAAACTGAAGTATGATACCCCACGGCTAAATATGAATAATGTACCGATACAGATGGATAACCACATTCGAATTCTCGGAGTTGATGTGGATGCTAGACTCACGTTTAACAGACATGTGGAGAGGGTATGCCGGAAGGCCATCCAGATATATAAGCAGCTGGCCAAAGCCGCGAAGATCGAATGGGGACTAAACCAGCAAGTTATCGCGACCGCGTACACTGCCGTTATTGAACCAATCGTAATGTATGCGGCCGCGGTGTGGGCTCCCGCGACAAATAAAATCTGTGTACGCAGAAAACTAAATCATCTTCAAAGGGGCTTTGCCCAAAAAGTAGCAAAAACTTATAGGACGACATCATTACACGCAGCAACCCTACTGGCCGGGATACTTCCACTAGACCTCCGTATTCAAGAAGCCGCTGCCTTATACGAGATAAGAAGGGGGTCAGCACGGAAATACTGGAGGGCGAAGAATTAGAGAGGAGAGTGAAATACGTAGATCTCCCACACCCGGCGAAACAAACAAAACTGGACTACAAGATGCTCACCAATCCGGAAGAAATCGAAGGACACGGCGGCACACAAATCTATACGGACGGCAGCAAAACAAGTATAGGAGTGGGTGCCGCTTGGACGGAATGGAAAGATGGAATGGAAATAAATAGCAAGATGATTAAGATGGCGCCCCACTGCACAGTTTTTCAAGCTGAATTGACGGCACTACGAAACGCGACTAGCCACATAAATAACAATAAGCGTGACGCTAAAATATACAGTGATTCTAGGTCAGCATTAGATGCTATTGTGAGTGGACGATCTCTCGATCCCCAGGTAGCCGAGATCCGCCGGAGCCTGGAAGAGTGCCGCAAAAGAGGAACTCATATAAGCCTCTTCTGGGTAAAGGCGCACGTTGGTACGCCAGGGAACGAGAGGGCGGACACGTTAGCAAAAGAAGCGGCGGAAAGACTAAGGTCAAAACCTGAATACGCCGCATACCCCCTGTCATATGTAAAACATCAGATAAGGCAAAAGACTCTAGATGTATGGAATGAACGCTACCTGGGGGGTGAAACAGCTGGAACTACAAAATTATTTATCGCAAATGTTAGAACTGCGTACAAATTAATAAAAGAGAAGCGTTTCACACCCCAGATGGCGCAAATTCTTACAGGGCACGGAGCCTTTGCACATTACCTTCATAGGTTTAAAATTAGGACAAGCCCAGCATGTGACTGCGGCGATGAAGAACAAACAGTAGAACATGTGCTCCTACATTGCCCTATATTTGCATCGTCCAGGCACGACCTGGAGCAACAAATGCAGATGACTGTAGACCGTAACGGCCTACAGGACATGTTAATAAAGCACAGATCGTGCCTGGAACGGTTCTGCGAAAAAATTGTGGAATATGTAAAGGCGGCAAACAAAACCCCAAGAACGGGTCTCGCGAGGAATTGCGTCCCGGCTCGCCCATGAATATTGTTAACAAAAATATTACAGATGTAGCCGGGGCGTCTTTCGCGAGACGTGTGATGTGCAAAGGTCCCTGGACACAATGGCAGGGGAGTAGAAAAGTGATATATTATATAAAAAAAAAAAAAAAAAAAAAAACTATATAAATAAAAATGTGTTGCTAAGCGCAAAACTCGAAAACGGCTGGATCAATTCTAGTTTTTTTTTTGTATTTATTGCTTGAACTTTGAGGAAGGTTTTTATGGAGAGAAAATTTTCACAAGTTTCATATGTTGGTATGTAGCTACTAAAAAGATAGACTAAGTAAAAAATCAAATGATTTTTTAACTTATTTAAATAATAAGGCGAAATGAAGTTCGTGACGTAACTAGTATTAATTTACCGATTTATTAAAATTATATAAATAACTTAATGCATATTATTTAAAGATATTTAAATGTATAAGAAATTAAGACTGTTATTTGAAAGAGATTTGTCCCGCTTTCAATTAGAGCGTGGGCCTTCCGTAACAACCAACGCGTATTAATAAAATTGTATCGCAGAGAATCGGACCAAGGATCTCCAGGTTCGCTTTAACCACTAAGCGAAGTCCATAGACTGTTACTGTCCTAAATTAACTTTTGCTAAATTGGTAAGCCTCGTTTAATAACCGGGAAGCTCAGGTCGTCGTCATTAGAAGGGTACTGTCCCATTGCATAATAAAATGGGTAAAGTTTCCTCAAGTCCATTATAAATTAGACAGAGGCTCAGCCGTATCATTTTAGATAGGTAAGATGTGACCCGGCACGAGTTGGATACCGCAATCTTGATAAAAATAACTATCCATGATTTAAAGTTGAGCTAGACTGGATTACAGATAAAGCTTGTACCAACTTTTAGAACTTAAGCCGCGGTTACACTTTATTTCTCATCACTATTTGAATTTAGAAAATGAAAACTTTATTTTTTTTAATTGTTCGAATTTTAACATTATTTTGAGTTTGAAAAGTGAGTTAAACTGGGCTCGTAATATACAGTTGTTTTATCAGGTGTGAAAGTTGCCACAACATACAATACATATAAATAAAATAGCAATCTCAATCGCGACTTTACCAGGCTTTACTCGGACAAAAAAACAGAAAATTAACAAAATTTACTTGTTATCAATCAATAGTCAAGTATCAAAATGAAATTTCCTAACAAACATCGTAAATTACCTTAATAACCTTAACTTACATAATCAATAGAAAATTAACCTTGTCGATAGCCATTTACTAAAGCGCTCATTACACGTCGTGACACCGAACAATTTCATTTAATATCTACAGAATAGATAAAATTTGTGAGTCTAAGCCAAAAAAAAATTTGGTTAGTTTGAATCCCAATAACTTCATTGCAATGCATTTTATGCGGTTAATGCTGTGGAAATTGGCGCGAAGGGGTATGGCAACACTATGCAATTACGCAGATGTCGCGTGAACACTAGCACGGTTTAATGCGTCGCTCTGGGATTCATTTGTGCAATGAATATACCGGTCAACATACACTTTCGCTACAAAAATACTTCGTATTTAAAAAAGAGTTTCTCTCACAGAGGTATTGGAAATAACGCGGTATAAATGAAAATTAAGCAAATAATTATATAATTTGCAAAATAGCATGTTCGGTTTTACATAATATTGCCTGACCTAAGCTGCACATAATAATAATTAAAATAAATAACATATTTAAATAAAAAGTTTTGCCATTGTGTGTACCTTTAATGCTGGCAGTAATTCCTCGCTAAATTACATTGTATCACTCTATACCTATTTCATTGTGACATAAGCCTGTTCCAACTTTTTTTCCTGTTTCCCAACTCTGATAATCCTATGTTATGTACATGTTATATTAGTGATCTAATATAGATAGAGAGTAATGTGATTTTATTGACACTACCATCTCAGTAGGCGTCAGTGTTAATTAAAAATGTTTCCAATAGGAAATCGAAGCAGCGAGATTTGACAATTGGACATAAATCATACTTTATCGGATTAAAATTATTTACCTACTACAGTTTTAGAATTAATTATTTAAAACTATAAATGTGTCGTTATCTTAAGTGTAACATGGTCATGTTTTATAATATTCAATTCAACATGAATTCATTTGGTAAATAAACGCTTCGATAATATTAAGAATCTAAATAATATACATCCTTTGCGGTGGCAAAAACGGAAATTAAATTATAATTCTTAAAACTGGTACCGATATCTTTAATAATAAGACAATAATTATTTTCAAATGAAATATTCAGAAGTTATAAGCGATATTTTTTAATTTCCGCTCCGTCACTCGGTTTTGAAAAATATAAATGATCGAAACTTACTGAAACGTCGTCAAGTAGGTACTTTGAGATTTCGATTAAATATGTTTATTTTTGTTGTATAGTATTCATTTAATTTATTTAAATTTTTGGGTATTTTAAGATTTGATGTAGCATTAGGACTTATCCATACACTTATATAACACGTCCAAAATATTTAGTGTAATTTTTTGACTAAATGCAAACTCTTTGGAATAAACATAGTAACTAGTGAGACCCACTTTCCGCTTGAGAAGCGTTTTGGCTCATCTGTAACAGGTTTTAATAAAATAAATCAAGAATAACAATCATCACATAAAAAATCAGGAATATCATTACACTATCAATTTTTATTCGCAGGTGGCGTGGATGCACTTTGAACAGTCCGCTATACTGACTGTGCATAATCACGTTATTACGAGGAACCCACGGGTGAGCGTGACTCACGACAAACACAGGACGTGGTTCCTTCACATTTCCGACGTGCGGGAGGAGGATCGCGGTCGCTACATGTGTCAAATTAATACAGTCACAGCCAAAACACAGTTTGGATATTTACATGTTGTTGGTAAGGTTTAATTTAGTGAGGAGTGAGAGGGCCTTTAGAGGCCACCCCAAGATCTAGAAAACCTTTTAGATCTGGGGTCTCAGATTTCTGTATCTGTTTCGTGGCCGTTTGTTTTTTTCTCTAACACAATGCTTATGGGGGTAGTATACTTCGATTTCAGAGTATACCTGGAGAGGATAAGAGGATAGCATTTACAGTCATTTTTGTAAATATTAATTGTATTATATTGCTTTTAGTCTAAGTTTGGCCATTGGGCTGTAAATAAATAAATAAATAAATAAACCAACAATCACAGAATGAAAAGCAATCTGAGCCTGAGTTTTTGGGCCTAAGGTATGCAAGACTTCCTCACGGTGCTTTCCTTCTCCGTACGAGTGAGTGCTTATACAGACAGCCTTCGAACCTACGACCTCAGGCATGAGAGTCGCATGCTGAAAACACTAGGCCAAGACTGCTGTTTTTGTTAAAATAAGAAAGGCGTTATAAATATAAAAGAAAGTATAATCAATCTATTAATATAGACTTATCTACTATACAGAGTAGTAGATAACTAGTTTTGTATTTGGTAATTATAGTTAATTATTATATTTTCGAATTCTGTCTGCTCACTATTACTTAAAATAATGTAGCACAAATCAATTAATATCCATATATAATTGAATCCAAACTATTCTTATATATCTTCATGAAGCTCCATTAGCTAATTAGCTTTTATTTTGTTGGCAAATTGGCAAGTTTGTAACTTTCCAACTTGTTTACAGTGCCGCCGTCCATCGACGATTCCTTGAGTTCGAGCGACGTTATCGTCCGAGAGGGCGCGAACGTCACTCTGACCTGTCGGGCTAATGGCTCTCCTAAGCCGACCATCAAGTGGAAACGAGATGACAACTCAAAAATCTCCATCAGCAAAGGCTATACTGGTTAGTCAATTAAATTTGATTGATACATTGTTGTATAACAGGAATACAATTATTTTATTTTAAACTCCTCGAAGGCAGCGTATATGGACATCAAAAGCGTATTGGTCTTAATGCTAATAAATTAATTATCCTGTATAAGAAATTGGAATATTCATAACTAATTATTATTGACGACATGTGTAACAATTATATTGATTCTTAGATACAGCTAAAACCTTTTAATTTAAATAATCATTGCTATTCTAAAGCTGTTTCGAGGAAAGTCAATCGTTTTTCTTGCGCTTCGACCACTGAGTGTGTGATTTGCGTAGACCATCTAACGGACTATAGATATTACATGTACTATATTCGAATGTGATTTTTAGTTTCAGAATGGGAAGGCGAAGTATTAGAAATGGCAAGGATATCCAGATTAGATATGGGAGCGTATTTATGCATCGCCAGTAATGGAGTCCCACCTACAGTCTCAAAGCGAGTCAAAGTTAGCGTAGACTGTGAGTCATTTTTATTCACGATTTCTATTCTAAACTAGTATGGTTATTAAACATAATATTATGTTTATAATATTATAAACACACACAGGCAACAAAATATATAAATAATATTATGAACAATTTTATAATAAATTGTCGCTTTTTTTTAAATTACAGTGTAATTTCAAAGTTGTTTTTTTTGCGAAATATGTGAAATACTTAATAATAATATTTCTAAGCTAACTTTCATATGAGTATTCAAATTTCAGTTCCCCCAATGTTATGGATACCTCATCAACTCGTCGGTGCACCGCTTTATTACAATGTTACGCTAGAATGCTTTACCGAGGCCCATCCAACTTCATTAAATTATTGGACTCGAGATGACGGACATATGATACACGAGAGTCCTAAATACCACATGGAAAATACCGTTGGATTGCCAGCATATAAAACACATATGAGGCTACTTATACGTCATATAGTTTCAGAAGATTACGGCACTTATAAATGTGTAGCTAAAAATCCGAGGGGAGAGTCCGATGGAACGATACGCTTATACAGTAAGTTTTTGAGACATAGTTCAAGTCTTTGTGCATCTTTTCAGCGCTACTAAGCTCGTTTTTTGCAGCTTCTTCGCCACCTACAACTACACCAGACCCAAGGGCGTTGACACAACCACCGCCATCTAAGCCACCACGACGGGACACTCCAAGTACAGACAAAGGTATTTTAAGAACACCATATAAAACAATCCTTTAACCCTTACAAATGTATCTGTAAAAATATGCCCCTTAATATATTTGAACACTCGCAAAATATATAGTCCCTCCGAAGAAACGCTGAATAAGAAAACAAAGATAATCCAGATAAATGTACCAGTCATTTGTAGTTTTGTATCGAAAAACACACGTCGAATGGTAAACACGTATAAAGATAAAATAGAGGTGAATTACTGATCCAATTTGTTTTATGTAATCAATTAATAAACTTGGATAATGACGTCATTAAATTGATACAATAAAATGCATAAACAAACAAGATTTTTACACCAGTGATTCTGTTGATTAAGAGACGATAATACCTTTATAGTCGAATCCCTTGGGATCGTTCGTTTTATTTTCATTGTTTGCTGCTGTTTCAGTTATTAGTAGACGTTATATTTGTTTATAGATCATAAAACATAACGGCGCGATCTGCTTGTCGCCAGTCAGTGGTTGTTAATGGTTTTAAATGTTATACGCTCGTAAAACAGAAATAAACCTCTTATAAACAAACATTACAATCAATATGAGTCTTGATTTATACATAGTATTTCAATAACCCATTTGAAAGTTAGATTAGAAGCCAAATATAATAAAGTTGTTTTTAACGACGTCTAAACTTTTGAGGTGGCTATAAAAGTGTTGTTTGTACGTTATTGAATATGTTATTAAATATATTATCGATGTATTGCGCGATATTATTGGGAAGTTGAGCATTTTCCGGACAAGTCCCGTCCGCTGGACAACGACAACATCTTGCGAAACAACCTATTACAACAACCAAGTGTCAGCTTGGAACTTCAAGTTTGAAACTTAGCCATTTTCTCCTCGAAACTCATTATTTCGTATTATTATAGAGTAAAAATGTTTTGGAAGCGGAATATATACAAATTAGTTTAGGTGAGTTTGTTATTCCTTTATATTGCAACATGATCTGTTTGACGGCATAAATTAGAAATAATTAAGAAAACAAACGTAAGAAAAGGGGTGTCAAAAATGGATGTGAACATTTAAAATCGCTTTCATGAGTGGCTGTTTTTGCGTGGCCACGGAGGACATCGACCGAAGCTTCTGTTTTATTTTTTGCGTCCATTACGAATTTACGGCAAGCCCGGCCACTCGACAATATTGCGCAACTTTTCAATAACTGCTGCCGACCGCTGCCCGTCCCTTGCCATATTGAATCCTTTCCCTAATGAGTTGTCGTTACGTCTACTTGGAAATTCTAGCTTTTACCATCACTTCTTTTTATTGAATAACACGGCTGCACTTTTTCTTACTTTATTTAAGATTAAATCCGCAATAACATAAAAATCAAGTTATTAAAATTACAGATTGTGTGTCGTTATTAAAATATCGTCGTGTTCTTTTAAACCTCACTTTTTACTTTGGAAGTAATATTATTTATAGTGGTTGGTCGAATACACCATTATTAGACCTAGTTAACATTTGGACTCATTTTAATTTATAATGTATATTAATGGTGACACATTGTGCAGGAACGAAATATCAATCAAACTTGAACGAGATCGATAAAGGGAAGCAGAAGCCAGACGAGGGAGGCGTAAAGACGCATCTTAACTGGGTGGGAGGTGCATCACAGGTCACAGGTACACATCCTGTTTTTATACTACTTATTTATTTATTATAACAATTCTGAATATATTCGCGTTAACAGGAATGCGATCTTCCGTTATCAAAATCATTTTTGATGATTCATGAATAAATCTCAGTTTCTTAGAAGTTCAATAACTTCAACAAAGGTTTCGGTGCTTTTTTTTAATACTTTTTACGCACTTAGGAATGATCGCACAACCTCAAGGTTGAGAGATACACGCTTAAGCTACTGGAACAACATTGCTCGTGTCACATATATGACCAGGCGTTAAAAAACTTCATTTAAATAGTATATTATAAACCTTAAAAAAATAAATTTAACATCAATTATATTTAATTATAGTGTTTAAAAATATAATTTTTTTACTACAATCTGCTACTGACTTGACTTATGGTTAAGAAATGTTTTAAATAATGTATAGTATAATTTATTTTCTTTTATTTCAGATGAAGCCACCGATAACAGATATCAAACCTGGATTTTAATTTCAATTTTTGTTTATGCATTACTGTAGGTATTAAATAGGACATTTAAAAAGCTCCTAATATGTCGAATCTATATCTTATGCACCTACGAGCACCTATCTGTAATATCATAGAGCTTACCGTATTTTAGAAATGTATTATAATTATGATTTGGCACATGCGCACGCTCAATACTGTTTATTATGTAAGTTCCTAATCAAGACTTCTATAATCAGCTTTGTTCAATATCCACGATTAAAGTTACAAGAACTATTTCACCGTGGATACAGATACTTGTTTTGCGTCTCAAACTTATATGAAATCCAATAGGTATCCAAATTACTTCAAAAATATACATCAAATTCCCGTAGTTAAATTTTTATCAATCTAGATTTGAAAATTTATATTGTTAAACGCTGAAGTAATCGGTGCTTGATTTGATAACACCTAATACTCAATATATCTGAGCGCATTTAGTGATTGTGTTGAAGGAATATTCGTAATTTCTTCTTCATTTATTCGATTTGTTTATATATATATTTACACAGAAGTACTTATTCTTCGTTTATTATAATACCCGACGTAGTGTAAAATTCCATACTGGCCAAGTTTTAATAGAACTATTTTTTTATTGCGACAGTTATTTGATGTCCTGCCGAATAAATATAAAAACATGGCTTCACAATATTTTTATCTGGCTTTTGTAAGTGAAATGAAATATATTGCAGCACTTGTTAGATTAATACGAATAATGTAAAGCGCACTATGTCAAAGTAGCCATTTTGTATGATTAGATTAAGACTGAAAGTGCAGGATTTAATTATTTATTGTTATAATTCTAATATTTTAATAGATTTTAAAACGTTTTAGTGGAACATTAACCTAGTAGCAAAAAAAGTTGTAAAACGTCATTTATTTTATTTGGAAAGTCTTTAACTACGGTAAAAAGTTCGTAAATGTATGGGGTAAAGCGAGGGCATGGAAAATGGAATCTTCTGCCAAGAAAATGCCAAAGCTTGGGATTGTATTGCAACCTGATCGGTAGCCAGTCTAAAGCAATGAAACTTGTTAAATATTCCAAGTTATGTGCACTCGCTTGTCATACTACTTACTATTTTTGATGCATTAATAGGCTTTTTTTTTTCACTTATATCATTGTATGAAAATTTCTTCTGTCAATTAAATATAATATATCGATTTAGTGTCGCTAGCATATCTGATCTGGTGTCAAAAAGTCATCACTTTAATCAGTCACTCATCAGGTCGGATAAGTTCGTGGCATTATACGTAAATGTTAACGTTAACCTGTTGCCAAATTGCTAATTATAAGAAAAATGCTGCATAGATTATATTGTACATATAATATATAAGCAAATTAAAGGGGTGTGTTTATTATGAGAGAGTGTATTGTTTGTTTACATTGTATTGATTGATATGAACAGTTGTAAGACGTGGACATGACGTGCCATGAATATACATAAGTAGGTAATAAAATAAAGCTTGTTTTAAACACTATTCTTTATTTATTGAACTACTTAATCTCCCTGTTGACAGAAAGAACCACACTGTGATCTAAATTAAGATCGCATATGATCAATTTTAAATGGCCACCATATTCGTAAACGAAATAGCTATTGAATATTATGATATTTCTTATAAAAAACAGAAATATAAGCTCAATATTATCTGTTTGAAAATAAAAATACTTGCAAAGCGTTGTCGTAATTTATTGCTAAAACAAACAACGAGATAAGTAAGTGTAATACACAAAGTGATGTTCCAAAGTTGAAAACCGCCGTATTATTTTGATAGGCTGCGCTTGCAAACAATCTGTGTTAGATCTTTAAAGATTAAGGGCTTTAAGGGCGCCGAAAAGGCTCCAACTATGTATGGACGGCCGCCAACTCCCGTAAGCCAATCTAACTTCTTTTAAATGTGTTTTTGATGTAAAGAACACATTACGGCACGCATCGCTACCCTCCCACCAAATCTTTGACTAAATTAGCTTTTGATTTATTGGACTTTTTTGTTAGAATCTCTTTTTAATTTCAGATCAAATTAGGTAAACGATCAAAAAAGATTTTCGTTTTATTATAAAACCAATATTGGTCCATCCTGCAAAAGTTTAAACAGAATACGAATTGGTATATCGTTATGTAAGTCTTACACTGTTTGTGGTTTGAGGTCGCGAAAAACAGGGTAATTTGATAATATTTATATACCAATATGGCCCTGGGTTTGATTCCACGTGAAACAATAATTACTTCTACTAAAAAAGCCTGGCTAAGGTGGCGGGAGGTATGATATCGATTTGTTCGTCCCCGTATAATACTTCAATTTATTAAGAATTGTATGCTTTCATACCTACTTATACGAGTCAAAACCAAATTTTCACAATTTACAGAGTAAATATCATAATTACTATACGTACATACATGTATCTGTTAATTGAGTGAAGTATCGTTGAGTGGCATATTTGTAAAGGTAACCTCATTACTTAGCGGCGGTGGGTGTGTTCCGTTGCCGGATGTAGCCAGGCAATCAAATAAATTACACTTTATTGCTATTATTATTGTTCAGCCTCGATTTAAGGACCTTAAAATTTTACATTATTGATTACGCATAGGACTTTAACACTAATATATTCTAACAATCGTTTCAATCCGTTGATAAATTTTGAGAAATTTAGACATATATATCGTATGTGGAATCATTTTCCAAGTGTCTCACAAATTTTTGCCCTTCATTCATGTGATATAACACATAGTTATTTATATAACATATAATTAAAAACGTGTAAATCGAAAACAAAATTTTAATTAAATTATTCCATTATCGGTGCTAAAATTAATTGATTAATAAATTTAAGTCTTGGAACTTACAGTGACATTCATAAATATTTTCAAATCAACAACCATATAAGTATTTTTAATTACAGGCAAGTAATAATTAAAGCTAGTGTATGCAAAAACAAAGCATAATCCCGGTGCTCCTCGGCATTCTCGTTCCAGCCCCATACAGCGGATACCACAATATCCAGGCAAATTAATCCGAGCACGGCTGGCCTGATCGGCGCCGGTCAGCGCGTCCTCGCATACTAATGCTATTGTTTATCGAAGGGGCTAATCTGTGCGTACCAGCCGCTTGTGTCCGCTCTTCAAATTATAACGGATCAGTTTCGACCGCCTAATCTGACTTCGGGCCGATCGGCAACGTGCCGTTGTTTGCCATGTTTATAATAATAGATACAAAGAAAAAAAAAGTTTTACGATATTGTTTATATTCAAAAAGTCTATACTTAAACTTACTTAAACTAATTCAACCTTATAATACAACTGCGGTTATGAATAATACGTACTTTAGTCTGTTGTTATTTCTAATAGTAATGCAGGAAATCAATAAGTCAGAGTTTTCACATTATTGTGGCTATTATTAATACAATCGAGGATAGATGTTGCTGTAAACACAATAGTGTTTAAAGCATATGAGTTCATAAAATAATTATACTTGAGTGATCAAGAACGATGAACTACACTAAACGTATAAAACACTTTTACGAGCGGGTTGTGTATAAGAATCCGGGTGATAATAAGGGTTACCCTCCGCGGCACCTTTATTGTTATCGAATAAAAATAATCCATGGATTTGAGGATAATCGTAAATCATGGGGGACGCAATCGGCGCGGCTTTCCCGCGTCTGAGAAATCCTAATGATTACTAAAGTGTTAGCTTCTGGTACATTCGATCATTTATAATAAAATAAAATCGTATAGGGCATTGTATTATATTCACCTCTCCATGATTTAGTTTATAACGTACAGTACAGAAATACTATTAGTACAGGGTTTAATTCCTGTAAATAATTATTGTTTTGGGTTAGGAGGGCAAGAAGGCAGATTACCTACTTATGAGAAAAAGTCATCAATAATTCATATGCAGCAGAAATGTGGCTGCCACATATTGAGGGGGTTACGGGAATCCATATGCGTATTCTGGCCATTACAATCGATTGCAATGTTTTTATAACTAGTAGTGAAAACTTAAAAAAAAAAACAATATGAAACGATAATTTTATTCTAAATCTAAAATAGCAAATTACACCCGAAAATAATTCACGTTATCTCTCGATATTCAAGTATCTCATACAAGCTATATAAACCGTAAAAGTACACAATCTGATAATAACGAGCTCGTAACGCACATTTTTGACGGTGTGAAGCTCTGAAAAGCCACCGATATCAACAAAAGTGGCAACTGAAACTAATGAATTATTCATGTCTGCGGAGCGGTGCATGTTCTATCACTGTTTTATCTATTGCGGGGCTCACCGGCTCCCGCGCCCCTCGCGGCACCCACAAGGGTTAACTACCTTGCAACCAACAATTTTACTGCCGTTTGAGAAGACTAGATAAGCTTCATGTTGCAAATAAACATTACCGTAATGTGACCGCTAACGCAATTGCTATTAAACAAAGGTCGTTTATTTATTCATTTTGAACTGTTTTGCCGTGTTCGTGGCTAATTGTGTTTGTTATGAGCGGTTTGGTTTGTGAGTTTAAGAAGTTATAATGGCGATAAATTTTCAATGTAATTTAGTCTTTAAAGTAGACCTTCATGACTTGCAAAAATTTGCTTTAAATGTTTCAAATAAATTGATTTCTTAGTCACTAGTACTTAGCCTTAATAATAATGATTAAAAACTTATGTTGACCTGCACTACTCTAATAGCATTTAAAATCTACCTCTTTACATTCTACCTCTTTGCTACAGGCTACAGTTAATACTACGAAAATGTACCCTACGATATGGCATCTATTTCCTTATAGTGTGTAATAATACTTGAAGTAGCTTGAATGTAGTTAGAGGTATAATAATGCTTTAGATACCATTACCTGCACAGATCAGTGGATCCTATTAATAAAAAAAATACAAGTGGAGCTAAAACCTTTTAGGTCTACGCTTTAGATTTTTGTATCTTGAGCCTTCGCCTCGTCAAACACCGTCTAGGTTTTGGGTCTTAGCCAGTTACCTCACTACGTTTTTCTTCACC